CATCGGTTGTGCTTTATTTAATTACATACATCAAACAAACCGAAATTATATATACCGTCGGTATGGTGAATATAAAGACAGTTTTTTGGTATCAGACGGTTTTATTAAGTATTACATAACACGTTTTTACTGTAATTTCAAATTTACTCAAAGCTTAATATCTATTCTCCACGAGCACACACACACACACACACACACACACACACACACACACACACACACACACACACACACACACACACACACACACACACACACACACACACACTCACTCACTCACTCAATAGTAGTTACAAGGGCAATGCTATACATAACAATAAATACTGTATCACACAAAATACGATACGATAATTTTTCATAAACGGTTATATTTCTTTATACTGTGAGTGAATGCGAACGAACAAACAGCATAATAGTTTCGACTGATGGTGATATACTGAGGTAATAAGTCACAGTTATCAATACAAAGTGACATGGGTTAGGCGTGTTTAGGTATTTCAAAAAGGAATAATTATATGATGAACCAGAGCACCAACCGTCACCCATACGTTGGCAAAGCGAGTATAACAACTGCCGATTTTTTTTTTTTTTGTGCTTGCTTATTTTGCTTACTGCAACGTTGAATTCGGAATAATGCATGAAAGTCTATGATGAATCATTTTGAAGACAAATAAAGGTTCTGAAGAGTATAAGTCATTGCAACACTTGACATTTGTGTGTAATCTCGAGCGTCTGGCAGCGTCGGGGAAAAAGTTGTACATCATTCACCGGCAACAAAAGCTTTCAATATTTGTAGTTTGGTTTTATGATTATATTTCAATGTTTCGTTTCAACACTATATATATTATAAGCACACGGCAATGTACACCAGACTGCAAGATGTTACACGAAGCTTGTATATGTCTCGTCAGGCTCCAAATGAACATCACTAGAAAAGAAAGTTTTATCAAAACAAGGGAAAAGAGAGAAACTAGGTAGAGTGGATGTGTTTTGACGACGTATGTGATAAATTCGGAGGCCGTAGCTTTCAGATTTTCTGGTCCTCTTTGGTACTGAAGTTTTCGCCATCACCCAGACGTGTCTTGCTGGTCCTACGTGGTATTTGTAACGACTGGTAATGTAAGTTCTACCGGGAGACCTTAAGAGCATGAGGTGCGCTGATGACGTTAAAAGATTTAGCAGTGCTTCGGGCGTTGACAGTGAACGAAATATTAATATTTGATGGACTAACAGCTGAGGAATTCACGACTGTGCTGATAGCGTGTAAGGTGTTAGAATTCTTTTTATTTTTACTCGGCTTCTGAAGTATCTTTAACACGTGCGGCCTTTTCAGCTTCTGAAATCCTAGTCACAGCTGATGTCTGGTCCGAATTCTCCTGAACTTCTGAAGTGGTGGGATCAGATAACGTCTTGGCAATGGGTATGTCCACATTGCGAGATATGCTTGGCATACCAGGGACGTCTGGTGACTTCGCACTGCCTGTCATTCTCAAAACGGAAGTTCTGACCTTGGAATTCTCACTGGTGGAGTTGGAGTTCCTTCCGGTCGCTGTGATTCCCTGTCTGTTCTCGCACTCTCTCGCGAGGCCGAATCGCGCCAAGGAGTTGCTACAGGAACGCAGGACCTAGGATTTTACAATCAGGAAATCAGTTTTTGATGTTAAAATGAAGTAACAAATTATATGACGAGAACAATAACAAAATGCGCTCACAGCACATAAACACGCGCACGCACATGACCATACATGCAGGCACACAAATCACAAAATATAAAACAATCGCGAAAATAACATATTTATGTATATATATATATATATATATATATGTGTGTGTGTGTGTGTGTGTGTGTGGGTGTGTGTGTGTGTGTGTGTGTGTGTTGTGTGTGTGTATGTGTGTGTATGTAATATATATATGTATATAATATTATATATATATATATATATATATATATATATATATAATATATATATATAATATATATTATATATATATATATTTGTATATGTGTGTGTGTATGTATTTATGTATGTATATATATTATATTTATATATTATATTTATATTTTACATATATTTATTATATATATGTAGGTAAGGTGGGTAGGAAGCCCCCCTTCAGGAAGAACATCTGTTGTATCTACAGTATTATATCTAGCGATCTGAAACAGACTTTGTTAGAAAGCTTGGCTCATGAACCATCAAAGCTGATAACGATATTCACTTCTTGAGGTTTTTATCAAGGTGATAATATGAATTTCATAAAAGATAACAAAAAGGCCTTTTACCCCATGCCTGGGGCAAAAGGCCTACATAATAAAATATATTCTGTCGCATCAATAGAACAACAATGATAAAGAAAATAATAGTTTTTTTTCAATTAAAGCATAAAAATAGGTATTTCATCCATATGCAACGTACACCTACTTTATATTTTAAATATAATCCCAATAATTGATATTTTTCACACGGGAGTGCTACGTAGGTAAGAAATCATGAACTAAAATATTCACTTGGGCAAATATGGGTGACTTTGCAAAATAATGGTTATGATTTTATTCACAGACTCACGATAATAATCCATATTCTCTACAAAACTATAACTAGTTTCTTCCATCAGTCAAACAGTCTGTATAAACTGAAGCTTCCTCTAATGTCTGGCTATCAGTCTATCAAAACACAAAAGTGTTTTTTTTAACCGCTTAAGCCTACTCAATCTTCTAACTCTCAGTTGTGACATATGTAACAATGAAATCCTGGTGTACAGTCGTCGTGGGACCATTTCTTGCAAACTGTAAACTGTACAAATTTTTCAGAGGATCTCTTGCTAGCAAAAGATGCCCTACACACTTGGCGGGGCCAATCACCATCAGAGGAAACTGGACTTGGAGTCTTCCTACTTTTCTTTGCTGTTTTTATTTTTTTATTTATTTTTAACAAATATTAGGAAAGGGTAAACAGCCCCATGCTAGGCTTTTTGACCCACAGCAGTGTAGTACAGCTGTTGTGAAGTACACCAACCTTCACTCATCTACGACAATATTTTAACGTTTGAATTGTAGTGCAAGATATTCTTAAGTCCTCGTAAGCTCTATCAATAGCCACAATATAAGCAATACATAAAAAGATACCTGTCCAACCTATCAATGACAAAACACTGCACTTACACGGAATGTTCTCAAAAGAGAAAAACAAATGTTGTCCACTTCCCTGACTGGCTTCCACTAAGTTGTTAGTGCAGAATAGTACTAACAGATGACGGAGATGCCCTGATCAGCTAAATGAGATAAACAAGTCGGTAATAAGGGAGGAACAAGGGGGAGGCCTTTTACCTCGCAGGGGCCTTTAACCCCACCTTACCCATATATATGGAAGGCGAAATCGCCACCTTGACAAAATATTCGTGCACTCCCGTTTTTCCTGAAATCTGCTCTACGTTAGGCAAGGAATAGTTAGTCCGGATATCAACGGCTGAGAATTAAGGTTAGAAATATGGTGTAAAACCCACTGAACTCAAAACTAGACTTTGGCGAGTTCTCTTTCCCACCCTCAACGTCTCACCATACAGCATTTTCACCGTCACGGAATAGTGTCACCATCAACAACCTACCAGTGTACGGTTGTTCTTGCTGTAGACAGTGACGAAGAAGATCCATAGGCCTTGCAGTTCGACGACCAGTTCGCACAGTACTAACCTGGAATTAGTAGATATTTGTGATGGTGAAACTGGTGATGGTGGTGAAGATGGTTAGGAAAGTAATGGTGTGGAAGAGGATAAAATTAATGGTGATGTAAGTGATAGTGAGGGTGAAAGTGACGACAAGGATGATGGTGGTGATATTGATGGTGAGAATGATGACGAAAGTGATGGTGATGGTGGTGACGATGAGTGGCGGTGAGGATAAACGTGAGGATTAATGGCTGTGATGATGATGGTGAGGCTGACACTTATGGTGATGGTGGCATGATGATGGTGAGGCTGACACTTATGGTGATGGTGGCAGTGATGATGATGGTGAGGCTGACACTTATGATGATGGTAGCAGTAATGGTGAAAATTGAAAATTATTATAATGATGATGGGGAAAATGTAACACCAAACAAGAAATAGCAACTTTGGCTGAAATCAGAACAGTCAAGGAAAATAGACAATCTCTCTACCTAACTTCTTGTATCATTTTACATAGTAGAGCTCTGCATAATAACTTTTGATAACGACATTTGGCAATCGCGCTGATTAACTCCCGGCAAAGAATCTGTAATGCTTACCCCACATATCATGTATATAAGTTGCCCCTAAACACACACACACTATTGTTTTTGCTCCCTTTTTGTCTGTCTGTCTGTCTGTCTGTCTGTCTCTGTTTGTATATGTGTATATGTATGTGCGTATGCGTGAGTGTGCGTGTGCACTGAGTGTGTGTATGTATGTGTTTGCGTTGTACGTGGCTATGCGTATGTGTCCGCACGTTCATATGATGTAGAAAACGAGGTGGTGATCTATGGTTATTATGACACGAGGTACTGAAGCGAGGGAACAGCTCTACTACCATACTAACAGAGAACCATAACCTCCCGTTACTCACCAAGCAGCACAGGTATCAGAGTGTGTTAAAAATTCCAAGCACCAACTTAGTCCCATGACGATGAATAAGCGAATGAAGAGTTTGTACCTACAGGGGAAAAAAGGAAATTAGTGCTGTTCATTACTATATTTCAAATCATGGTAGAGTTAGAAGTTGTTAACAAGAAGTCAGAAGAGAAAGAGAAGGCATTCATCACCAGGAAAGAATGTTGTAGACTGATACCTTGCCAAATTAACATCACTATTTGCAGTCTGACTATCAAGGTATCTTTACACACATGGACCTTGCTGACTATGAAGAGGGTAAACTACAACCACTGAATTGGATGAAGATTGCTGAGAGATATATTTCTGTTAGGTTGCTAAGACCCTAAAAAAAAAAAAAAAAAAAAAAAAAAAAAAAAAAAAAAGAGAATGAG